GAGCTCACTTTAGGAGGGGTTTTGTTGATTCAGTGTAATCGATCTCTCGACGCCTGATCTAGAGATTCAACATATATATATATATATATATATATATATATATATATATATATATATATATATATATATATATATATATATATATATATATATATATATATATATATATATATATATATATATATATATATATATCAATGGACTCAAATAATATGGGTACAAAAATACATTAAACACCATTGCATAGTAAAGTCAAAAGATATGATACAACTCTTTCCAATACAATTCATAGAAGAGACAAAAACCCAAACTCCATTTCTCCAAAACCCCAACTGCAACGTGAAGTCATAACGAATTGATTAAATTTATGCAAATGTCGTTTCATAACTTTTTTGGGGAAAAAGAAGGAACAGCGATTCTATTTGAAGATAGCTGACATTAGTTCATAGTTACTCTCCTGCCGCTTTGTAATCGACATTTGTGGAAAATATGAATTACCTTTTGTACCCCCATCTACAATTTTGAGGGCTGGCTCATAAATGTAAAAGCCAAGCGAACTGTCACAAACGGCGGGCGTTGCCAGGCACGTTTCATCTCTTTTTTCACTCCATGGCTTGTGGTGAATCCATTTATTTATGAGATTTGTTGAATTTTAATTAATTCATTTGAACGCCAACCACAACTTCACATCCTGGATAGATGCTGGTGCGATGATAATCCAAAACGTTATGTTGAGAATATCTGTAAAGAGGAAAATTAGATTTGTTAAGTGTTGCAGTTTGTTGTCTAAGTTGTTTTTTTTTTTTTGTTGAGGAAGGGGAGTGGTTGTTTCGGAATTAGTTCACAAATTGCATGACAGGTCAAAGTTGAAAATTTAAACAGAATTAAAATAAGTGGAGCAAAATTTTTTATAAAGGGGATTGGAAATTAAAATTCTAATGTCAAGAGGGGGAATGTTGCAACTTTCTCAGGTCCCGCTCCTATCTCATACATCCAACAGGAGTGATTTATCAAAGCCCAGACTAAACAGCTGAAGCTTGAAACTTAAAATTTTGCATGTGTGTCCATGGATGAGATAAGGCAGGGCTTTTATATGTACGAACTATAAGTGTACTAAAAGACGCTATAAGTGTACTTAAAGTACTAAAAAAACCCAATATTTGGTACCAATTGATCAATGGGAGAAATAATGCTGGATTTTTGTAAATACGAACTATATGTGTACTAAAAGTACTAAAAGGATCCAAAAAATTGCATTTTGTATAAGGCGCTGATGGTTTGCATTATATATGTCCCAAAGGAATTTCGAACTATAAGTATACTAAAAGACCAAAAATCAGTAAATTTGTTACCAATTGATCAATGGGTGAGATAAGACTAAGTTTTTGTAAATTCGAACTATAAGTGCACTAAAAGGTGCTACAAATTGAATTTTGTAGCGTAAACGTACCAAAGGGAATCCGAACTACAAAATGTACTAAAACTGAGATTAGACTGGTTTTTTTGTAAATTCGAACTATTAGTGTACTAAAAGGTACAAAAATTGAATAAGGTATAAGGGTGGCTAATGGGATGTAGGATTAATGTACCAAAAGGAATTCGATTTATAAGTGTACCAAAAGTACCAAAAAGCGGTAAAATTCGGTACCAATTGATTTGATTATGCACTAAAAAAGTACAAAATGTACTAAATTGTATTAAATTTGTTATGTGGAAATGGTGTGAAGCCAGAAACCTAAAGTTTGGAATGTATTCATTATTGTTATTTAGAATCGGCCAACCAAAGTGTTTTTAAGAAAGACTGTACCAAAAGTACTATAATGCACTAAATTTGGTACCATTTGAAATTTTGTGAATGGATAAAGCTAAAATTTTGAAATTTGGTATGAGAATCATATTTAGGAAAAGGAGTTGATATAAGCAGATGTTTTTGGAAATGTGTACTAAGAGCTGTACTAAATGGTGTCATTTGATTTTGGGTGGACTAATGGAGCTGGAAAATGGAAATTATGGTATTCGGGTCACTGCTGGTGGGTAGAGTATAAAAAAGTGTAATGTTTGAAAGTGCGTGCTACAAATATACAAAAAGTACTAAATGGTACCAAATTTGGTATTGGGTGAACAGAAAATGCTTAAAATCTTAAATTTGAGATTTTAAGGTGGTTTTGAAATACGTACCAAAAAAGTATCAAATGGTATTACATATTTTTATGTGGGGAAGGGCTGTAAATCTAGCATTTCGCATTTGTGCGGCACGGTTAGTAACAAGGTGAATTTGGAAATAAGTTCAAAAAAGTACGAAAGGTACTGAATGGTATTAAATTTTGTATTTGGAAGAGAGAAGAGCTGAAATCTGGAAATTGGAATAAGGATCTTTAATGTTGCGTAGCATATACGAACCAAAGTGATTTTGGAAATAGGACGAAGGTTGTACTAAAAGTACAAGAATGCACTAAATTTGGTACCATTTGGAATTTTGTGAACGGATAGAGGAATAATATTAGAATTTGGCCTGATAATAAGGATTGGGAAGTAAGGTTGATATAATTTGCGAATTTTTACTAAGTTTAAGGGGTGGGCTAAATTGTACTAAATTTGGTACAATTTGGTTTTGGATACCGGGATGGAGCGGGGAAACTTGAAATTATGATATTGTGGTCCCTGCTTGTGGGTATTATTGAAAAAAGAGGTAGCTTTGCAAAAGCGTACTACGAACATACAAAAAGTACTAAATGGTCCCATATTTATGTGGGAGGGGCATAGATCTGGAAATATTGAATTTGGTATTAGGATAACTTATTGTGAAAGTTGATGTAGAAATACATACTAAAAAGTTCAAATAGTACTAAATTGTACAAATTCGCAATTTGGGGAAGAGATAGGGCTGGAAATCTGGAATTGTGTAAGATAGACGAGCCAAAGTGTTTCTAGAAATTCGAACAGACAGTACTAAAATGCACTAAATGTAGAAGATTTTGCAATAATGTACATTTTTAAAATTTGGTAATGGAATCAAGCTTGGGTTGATATCAGCAGATGGTTTTGGAAATTTTAACTAAGTGTAAGAATTGCACCAAATGGTACTAAATTTGGTACTGTTTGGTTTTGGGTGAACAGTGCTTGAAATGTGAAATTTTGTATTAGGGGCGCTATTAATGTAAAGCCTGGATATATGGAGTTTGTTTTATGAAATATCTACTAAAATTGTACGAAATGTACTGAATGGTACTAAATTTGGTTGTCGGTGAGGGTTAGGGCTGGAATCCTTTTAAAAATGAGGTCTCTGTAGATATCTGGAATTGAAATATGGAGATGGCTCTGAAAATGCGTAATATAGTTGTACGAAAAGTACTAAATGGTACTAAATTTGATATTCGGCGAAGGGAAAGGGCTGTAATCCTCCAATTTGATAATGAGGTGCCTGTTAGTATCTGGAATTGATATATGGAGGTAGTTTTAGAAATGTGTACTATAGTTGTACGAAAAGTAGTAAATGGTACTAAATTTGATATTCGGTGAGGGGATAGGGCTGGAATCCTCAACTTTGATAATGAGGTCCCTGTTAGTATCTGGAATTGAAATATGGAGATGGCTTTGGAAATGTGTACCATAATTGTAGGAAAAGTATAAAATTCGGTGTTGAGTGTGGGAATAGAGGTTGGAATTATGAAATTCGTACTATATACTTTTAAAAAAGTACCAATAGGAATAGAGGTGGATTTGTGAATTGTGGTATACGAGTTACAGTGGGTGCATAGTATTTAGACTATGCGGGACTTTTTTTTTTGTTTTTTGTTACACAATAAGGTTGTTTTGGAAATGCATAATTCATACGAAGAATACTAAATTTGTTATAATGGGTAGATGATTATAAATATTTCCGATTTTTTGCTAAAAATGTATCGGGTATTTGCTGGTGTAGTCTATATAGACTCCATAGTAAGTCCATCGGCAGCTCGACGATATGCAGTCTGCCTCGCTTCTCAGTACCTGTTCTATATAAATCCACTAGGCAGCTGATTTATATATAGACCCACTAGCGAACTCGATATCAGCTGGTATATATACAAACTCACTGGTCAGCTGGCTTGAACTGGTCCATATATAGACCATATATGAACCACGTGCCAGACCCACGGTCTGTCTAACAGCATGCCCTTGTAAATACCTCATGGGCGAACAATCAGCTAATCTATCAGCCCTGGACTGGCTTAAGCTAGTCTGTTTACAGACGCCCTGCACAGCAGCCTTTTGGCTGGTCCATATATGTAGGTCCCCTAGCGATCTGGATTTAGCTTATCTGTATATAACGTCCCCTGAGCTAGATGGCTTCAGATAGTCCAAATATAGGCTCCCATATTAGCTCGCAATCAGTTGGTCTCTGTTCGCTTCAGCTGATCTTTGTAGATACAGTTTATAGCAATAATGGGTATTTTTACCTTTGCCCCCCTCCCCTCATAATTCCATAAAAACATCTAAAATTCCGCTCCAAATTCTCCACGCCACAAATTATTTCCCATAGAATTTCATAGACTTGTGGCGAACCTGATTGCACATTCCAAACGACAATGTATGGTCGTCGGTCGGCAGTTATGTTGTGTTGGGAATTCCAACCACCTCAACTATATCACTCACACACATGTTGCATGCAACATCTCCCGCTCTAACATAACCAAGCAATCAGCACCAATAGCAAGTAGAAACCTGGCTTCAAGCCATGCACGATTATTGTTGCTCTGGGAAGTTGGGTGATGATGATGAAGATGCCACAAAAAAGTGAAGGTTACATTACCACCTCGCAATGGCTCGCAAAAAAAAAAACGTTGTTGCAGCGCAATGCAACTACATAGTTTCTTTGCCATGAGCCGGCCTGGTGATGCGCTTGTTAATGCTCCAATTATGACAAATGAAAAAGAAATGAAGAAATTCTCGAGCTTTAGGCCTGCGGCAATTGTTAAGCATCTCGTCAACGACAGTTGCTGAAGATACTTCCGTCAATAATGACGCCTGTGAAGCCAGAGTGCCAGATGAGTTATCATCTGAAAGTGTGGCTAACGATTTTATTGGTAATTAAATTGTGTTGTGGCCTAACGGTTTATGGAAATGGTTTTGTCACCATAAAGCGTCTACCTCCGCCGGAGTTGTGTAGAAATGATGCTTGTCTCGAAGATGTGGCCGGCAGGGATCAACGCCAGCGAAGTTTTTTGGAAATGAAATATCGTCTCTATGAAAATCCCTATAAACTGCGATTTCAGCCGATGAAAGCGATGCCACGTTTATTTTGGCATAAATTTCCCCAGAAGCAGCAGGAGCTGCCAACAACAACGGTCATGCCCACGGAGGTGCCAGAAGTGACGGAGTTGCCCAGTGAACCTGAGGAGCCAACGGAATCCACGGAGGAGCCCATGGAACCAGAAATCACAGAAGCCCCCATACCCGAAACCGAGGCACCACCACCAACCGAACCACCTGCCCCTCCTCCCACTGAACCAGCCACTGAAGAGCCAATGGTAACCGAAATACCAACCATTATGCCCACCAGCACCATTTCCGAAACACCATTACGGCCGCCAGGAACAACTTTCACCACCATAATGAAGCCGCCTGGCTATTTCCCCTACAATCTGGCCACCAAACTGAAAAATCTCTTGGTATTCGGCTCCCCTGCCCAAGTGAATTTGATACAAAAACATGGCCTTGTTCCAACCGTGAAAACGAAGAGTAAAGGATTTCTCAGCCTATTCGAAGTCATTAAATTTGAAAATGTCAGATGTTCCGTGAATATGGGTGATATACGCTCCATGGAGGGTACTTGCTATCATGAGCTTGAGTGTAAAAATCTCGGAGGCATTCCCACGGAAAGATGTGCCGATGGCGCCGGAGTTTGTTGCATCTGTAGGTATTGGAAAAATCCTTATAAAAATAATTTTCCATTTTTCTTTTTTTCCCCCAGTTCTAACTGGTTGTGGTGACACAACCGATCAATCGGTGGTCTACTTCGAAAGTCCCAATTATCCTCATCCATTTCGTGAGTCAATGATTTGTGTCCTCATTGTGAATGTTCGGAAAAATGTCCAGCAGCTGCGTTTGGATTTTTTAATGTTTGAGGTTGGTATAGAAATGTTATTTTGTCGTTCTTGAAAGTTCCGGTTTTATTTCTTGTTTTAGTTAAACCGTCCAATTGACGGCGACTGTGAGGAGGACCAATTTGTAGTTTCGGGGCAAAATATTAATTTCGAGGTACCCGTTTTGTGCGGCATCAATACCGGACATCTCAGTGAGTAATAAAAAAATTTCGGAACTAAAAAAATCAATATTTTCTGAGAAAAAATAAACCAGCTAATGGGCCGGGGAACACAAACTGTGAGGTAAATGGGCCACGAGGACCGAACAGTCTATAATAGGCAATAGAATAAGTAATGCTCTTGTATGGGCTATAGAAGAGTTCAATGTTTTCTCTGGGCTACAGTAGAGCTCAAGGTCTTCTAATAGGGTGTAGAAGAGCTCAATGTCTTCTTATGGGCTATAGAAGAGCCCAAGGTCCTCTTATGGGCTATAGAAGAGCTCAAGGTCTTCTTATGGGCTATAGAAGCGCTCAAGGGTTTCTATGGGTTATAGAAGAGCTCAAGGTCTTCGATGGGCTATAGAAGAGCTCAAGGTCTTCTATGGGCTATAGAAGAGCTCAAGATCTTCTATGGGCTATAGAAGAGCTCAAGATCTTCTATGGGCTATAGAAGAGCTCAAGATCTTCTATGGGCTATAGAAGAGCTCAAGATCTTCTATGGGCTATAGAAGAGCTCAAGGTCTTCTATGGGTTATAAAAGAGCTCAAGGTCTTCTATGGGTTATAGAAGAGCTCAAGGTCTTCTATGGTCTATAGAAGAGCTGGAGGTCTTCTATGGTCTATAGAAGACCTGGAGGTCTTCTATGGTCTATAGAAGACCTGGAGGTCTTCTATGGTCTATAGAAGACCTGGAGGTCTTCTATGGTCTATAGAAGACCTGAAGGTCTTCTATGGTCTATAGAAGACCTGAAGGTCTTCTATGGTCTACTGAAGACCTGGAGGTCTTCTATGGTCTATAGAAGACCTGGAGGTCTTCTATGGTCTATAGAAGACCTGGAGGTCTTCTATGGTCTATAGAAGACCTGGATGTCTTCTATGGTCTATAGAAGACCTGGAGGTCTTCTATGGTCTATAGAAGACCTGGATGTCTTCTATGGTCTATAGAAGACCTGGAGGTCTTCTATGGTCTATAGAAGACCTGGAGGTCTTCTATGGTCTATAGAAGACCTGGAGGTCTTCTATGGTCTATAGAAGACCTGGAGGTCTTCTATGGTCTATAGAAGACCTGGAGGTCTCTATGGTCTATAGAAGACCTGGAGGTCTTCTATGGTCTATAGAAGACCTGGAGGTCTTCTATGGTCTATAGAAGACCTGGAGGGTCTTCTATGGTCTATAGAAGACCTGGAGGTCTTCTATGGTCTATAGAAGACCAGGAGGTCTTCTATGGTCTATAGAAGACCTGGAGGTCTTCTATGGTCTATAGAAGACCTGGAGGTCTTCTATGGTCTATAGAAGACCTGGAGGTCTTCTATGGTCTATAGCTAGTAAATAACTTGAAAGTCCTCTATGGCCAATAGACAACCTCAGAGTCCCCTATGACCAATAGACGACCTGAAGGTCCTATATGGCCAGTAGACGACTTCAATGTCAATGGATGACGTCAAGGTTCTCCATAGCCAATAGATGACTTCAAGGTCCTCCATAGCCAATAGATGACCTCAAGCTTCTCTATAGCCAATAGATGACCTCATGCTCTTCTATAGCCAATAGATGACCTCAAGACCTTGAGGTCCTCTATAGTCAATAGAAGACTTCAAGATCCTATATGGACAATAGACAACCTCTAGGTCCTCTGTGGAAATAAAAATCGCCAAATATTTCAATGGGAGGCAAAAAGACGACTTTAGACTTTTAAAAATGATCAATGACTTTTAGATATTTTTTCAAAGGAGTTATGTGTGACTTTTAAGAATATTTTCTTCATAAATTTTCTGTAGTGTATGTCCATGTCGGCCATTCTCCAGACCGCAAGGTGTATCTCTCGATATTTGCGAAGGTTCCCACAGGATCAAGGAGCTTTAATTTGAAAATAACACAGGTATTTTAATTCAGAAAAATAAAATTGCGTAATTGCTTTCCTGAATATTTTTTCTGCAGTTAGAGGATAATTTGGCGCCCGATGGCTGCTTGCAGTACTACACGGACATGGAGGGTATTGTCAAGTCTTTCAACTATGACATCGAGGGAACTGTGGTCGACAATAAATTGGCCACATATTTGGTAGAACCATTTATTTTATTCGTTTATCATTGATTAACATTTTTTTTTTGTTTCCAGAACAACCTGAATTATGTGATTTGCTTGGAACGTGGCAAAAATACCTGCAGTGTCAATTATGTCATGGAACAAATCGGCAGCAGTTCCGAACAGTTGGATTTTCAAATAATCAATAAAAATGAAGGTATTTTGGAAAAAATTTCTCACGTCTCTGTGAATTAAAATCTGATTTTGTTTTTCGTTGCAGATGAAAACGATCTGGTGCCCGATGGCCAGGCCGGTGCTGGCATCTTCAATTGTCCCGACGACTTTTTAGCCATCAATCAGGTGCGCCTGTGCGGCGAACGCTTCAACGACGGCTCCACAAATGAAGATTTCACCGTCAATGCACCAGTTCGAGATGTCGCGGCGGGACCAATTATTTTGCCCTTTCGCAGCAATGACGAATATGTGGGACGTGGTTTTCGCCTGTCCTACCGCCAGGAATCATGTGTATAAAATTCGATACCGTTACATGGAGGCATCAGAGCCCAGCTCTCCTTGGAGATTTAAAGAAAGAAAAAATTGTTGCAAATTTGCATTAAATTTGTTTATGGTCATTGTTTGGTGTTTGATTTTCGGTTCGGTTCCCCCATTCCTTTTTTCGAAAGCATGGCGGTGGTGGTTGGTTGGTTCTCCTCACTTGTTCCAGTTACGCCAAATTTAACATTTCATTAGTACCCTGGGAATATCGGCATATGTTGCCTGGCAATGGCTGAAACTAATGCAACTTGGGTTCGGTAGAAACTTCACTGCATTTCATTTGTGTGACAGAGTGTCCCTACAAGTCTTGGAAATGTTACGTTTTCTTTTCGTATCTGTCGTTTTGATTCCCATGTAAATACTTCTTTGTAATTTGGTGAGGGATTACAAGGACAACAAAGGAGGGGAAGAAGAAGCAACTAGGAAAATGCATGACCGAATCCCCATAGACAACTGATATTATTCCTGCTTTGTCGCCTGTTGTTGTGGTTGTTGTTGTTGTCGTCGTTGCTGTTTTCCATTTGATTTCCATCATCCTCATCATCACCCCCAGCAGACGACATCCATATCGCCATCAAAGCTTGCTTCGAAAATAAGACCATAACCAAGCGCCACCCACATGTCATGATGATGTCGCTGGTTTTGGCAAATGTTTTCTTTGGCGTTCGTTCTACTCCATCCCGAAATGTTACGGTTTTCCAAGAGGAGCAAAGCCGCCAAGGAATGAACACCGTTAACAAATGGCACCATCGTCGTCACCACCCAATTTTTGTGGTTTCTGTGTGGATTTTTGGTTAATTTTAAATTCGTATGGCAACTTAATTTCCTGTAATACCGTTAAACAGTGGACAGGAGAAGGAGAATGATGAAAGAAATCTAAAAATACTGCAGCTATGGGAAGACGAGTTGGAGGATGCCTTTATGTTATAGCTGGAGGGAGTCTTTATGGGCGAGCTGGAGGAAATCTTCATGAACCAAGGGCTCAACCTCTTTTATAGGCAAGGGAAGAGAAGGCTTACCATATCCAAAACAACACATGGGGGGTTTCAATAGCCAAGATAAGACCTTAGAGGTTTTCTACAGCCAATAGAAAACCTGAAGGCCTTCTACATCCAATAAAAGACCTGAAGGTCTTCTACAGCGTATATAAGACTTGAGGGTCGTCTACAGCCTATAGAAGACCTGGAGGAATTCTATATTCAAGAGAAAGTCTGGAGGTCTACAATATTCCAGAGAAGGACCTCTACGGCCAATAGAAGAACTGGAGGTCTCTTACAGCCAATATAATTTTACAGTAAAGAGAATACCTAGCGGTCATCTAAAGATTATAGAGGAACTTGAGGCCTTCTACAGCCTCTAGAAGACCCGGTGGTCTTCTACAGCCAACAAAAGACCTAGACGTGTTTTACAGCCAACAGAAAACCTAGAAGTCTTCTACAGCCTGTCAAAGACCTGGTGTTATTCTACAGCTAATAGAAGACCTGGAAATATTCTACAGTCTTCTACTGCCAATAGAAGACCTGGGAAGTCTTCTACAGCCAATAGAAGACCTGGAGGTCTTCCATAGTCAAGAGAATACCTAAAGGTCTTCTACAACCAATAGAATACCTGGAGGTCTTCAACAGCCTACAGAAAATCTAGATTTCTTCTCCAAGAATTATATGGGAAACTTCTACGGCCAATAGAAGAACTGGAGATCTTCCATAGCCAATAGATTTCTATAGTCAACAAAAGACTTGGAGGTCTTCTAAAGTCACGAGAAAACCTAGAGGTCTTCTACAACCAATACAGCCTATAGAAAACTTGGAGAACTTGTACAGTCTATAGAAGACCAGGAGGTCTTTTATAATCACAAGAAGGCCTGAAAGTCTTCTATAGCCAAGAGAAGACCTGGAGATTCTATAAGCTCTTGAAAAAGACTTGGAGGTGTTCTACAGCCTATAGAAGACCTGGAGGTATTTTACAACAATAGAAGACCTTAAGGTCTTCTAGAGTCAATAGAAGACATGAAGGTCTTCAACAGCCAATAGAAGCCCTGGAGGTCTACTGCAGCCTATAATCAACTTGGAGGATTTCTATAGCCAATAGAACACGTTGAGGTCTTCTACAACCAATAGAAGACCTGGAGGTCATCTACAGCCAGTAAAAGACCTGTTGTATAGCCAAAAGAAGACCTCAAGGTCCTTTCATGGACACTAGAAGACCTCAAGATCCTCTATAAATAATATAATACCTCAAGGTCTTCTATGAACAAAATAAGACCTCAAGGTCTTCTATGAACAATAGATGATCTCAAGGTCCTCTATGGCGAATAGAAAACCACCTGCTCTCAAGGTCTTCTATGGACAGTAGTCGACCTCAAAACCATCTGTGGACTATAGAAGACCTCAAGGCCCTGTATGGACAATAGAAGAACTCAAGGTCCTTTTATGGGCATTAGAAGACCTCAAGGCACTTTTATGGACACTAGAAGACTTCAAGGTCCTTTATGAGCAATATGAGAACTCAAGGCCTTCTACGAACAGTAGAAGACCTTAAGCTCCTCTATGGACATTAGAAGAATTCATGGTCCTCTACGGAAAATAGAAGATCTCAAGGTCCTCTTTAGAGAATATAAAACATGCAGCTCTTCTCTGGCGAAGAGAAGATGGCAGCTCTTTTCTGGCGGAGAGAAGACCGCCAGCTCTTCTCCTGCGAGGAGAAGGCCGCCATCTCTTCTTTTGCGGAGAGACGACTGCCAGTTCTTTTCTGGTGAAGAAGAGACAGCCAGCAATTCTCTGAAGAAGAAAAGACCGCCAGCTCTTCTATGGCGAATTGAAGCCCAATAGCTCTTCTATGGTCAAGAGTATAACTAAAGCTTTTCTACGGCCAATTGCAGACCTCAAATACTTCTTGAAAAATTTTACGAAAATAATCTCTTCCTGATGCACTGTCCTAAAAATTCAGCTTGCCTGCAATCTACGACAAAAATCAATCCCCAAAATGATAAAGAGGAAACCGACAACTAAAAAAGTTCGTAGTTCACCATCAATGTTGTCGTTGTTGTTTTTTCCCATTTTGTTTATTTATTATTCCTATTTCGATTGACAGGTTTGTCGCCCTGTTTTTCTTGCCAGTTGTCTGTCAAAGTTTTTCGTTTTAGTTTTGTCAACATTATTGACGCTGTGGTAGAAGTTGTCTTTTTTTGCTGTTGTTATTTGTATCTATGACGAAATGTATTTTATCAAGCCGTTATTTCGTCAAACACTGTGGATGAATTGGTAACTAATCTTTAGGTAGTGGAATGCATTTAGTTTTTTATGGTTCGTCCGTAACCAATAGGTTTTCTGAAGTATATGTAAGACCTGTTGACATTCTTTAGTTTCTTAGGCAAGATAAGTCTTCCAGGTCTATTTTAGAAGTACAATATTCCTAAGCCTTCACCAATTGGCATATAACACCATTTAAAAAAATATTAAATTTCACTAAGTGTGCTTGGGCGCCTCATGCAATTTTTGGAATCTTAAAATATTTTATAACAAGTCTGTATATTAACCCGTATAAAGATTTGTTATGTAAATATATTTTAAGATTTCAAATTGTATGTGGCGCCCAAGCACATTAGACAATAGAAAACATCCACCAAATTCATTGATTGGTCAATTAGCAGGGTTTTTGTAAAAAAAAACATGATATTATCTCCTCCACCCAAAACCTAGAAAAAAAAATTACTAAGAGGCACGATAACAAACTTTAATAAAATTTTCAAACATTTTCTAACATGCTCCTATTCAATTGACCACCACTGTTGTCATAGCAGTTATGAATTACAATTTGTTTTAAAAGATTTGCATGAATCCACCCACCCACAAGACTGTTTTGTGCATTTTTTTGTTGTCGTATTTATATTTTTGTACATCAAATATTGTTTTCATTTAATTTGCATATCAATTTCATTGCATTATTATTGTTGTTGTGGTTGTTGTTGTTGTTAAGATTTCCATTTATGGTTTTGTACATTTGGAGGAGTTGCTGAGTTTATCTGTTAATTTTTATGTGATTGTTATGTTGGCTTTGAGACAAATTTTTAATAATACATTCTATTTAATCTTTATCTAATTATGACAAACTGGGAGGTCTTTCCCAGGAAATAATAGGATTAAAAAGGGTCGAAAATTGTCTCCCTTTCTAAAAAAGAAGGAATAAACATTTAATTTATTGCCACCAAGAATCGCGGTATATTGAACAAATGGAGTATAAATGCTCTACATATGTATGTACCTACAAGAACCGCACACCCAAGAGCTGGTTGTGCATGACAGATAGGTAATTCTAAGGAAATAGGAAAAATGAAACTCTACTGTAAAGTTTAAAGTCAAATACAATTTTTTAGAACTTTCCCAAGTTGGGGTAATTCATACAACATGAAATGAATTTGGGAGCTTTCCTACAATATTATATTTAAGATAGCAGAAAAATATTGGTTTATTGAAAGATTTCAAAATGTATTCCCCATCTATGTCGAAAATATGCATTTATTCAAACGACTGAATTGCTAATAATTTCAAATCGTTTTCAAAATACTACTACTTAGTCCTCACTTATAGATATCTAAAGAAAAACATAAAATGGTACAGACTAGAAAAAATGTATTCTGAAACCAGTAAAGAAAGACCTAAAGTCGGGCGGGGCCGACTTTATGATACCCTACACCACTTTGCTTATTTAGTAGAGCTCCGCATAACAATTAAAAGTTTCTATGGGAGAATTCAATCATACACCCTATGATTATAATTATAATTTAAAGTTCAAGGGACTAAATATGCCGAAGCATTTGTATCTTTTAAATTCGGACTTGTATTGCCCATTTGGTGCACAATTAATTTGAAATCGGAACCGATCTCGATAAAATTTGGCAAAGATATTTCTGAGCTGTATTTGATATATTTCCCTGAATATCGTTGTTACGGAGTGCATATTACGGCTGTGGGTAACAA